ATCTTGATCCGGCAATGTGCACGAGAGCAGTGGCTCTCCCAGGTCTCTCCCTCTTCATTGATTCAGATACAGTAGCCATTGAATCCCGCTGCTGTCAATCACATCCAGTGAGGAAGGAGCAGGGGGTGGGGCCATGCCACATTTTGAGTGTCTTATAGACACAAAGAGGCTGCTCAGGAGTGAGCACGCATGAGTGGTGGTAGGAGCCAGGGGGTGGCAGCAGGAGACCCAAGAGGAGGAGGTTGGGGACTGCTCTGTGCAAAACCATTGCACAAGACAGGCAAATATATGTTTATTTAAAAAAATAAAAAAATATGAACCTGCAGAATAACTTTATATGTAAACCCTCATCTTTTTGTAAAACAACTCATTCAGTTTAAAATAGAAAGGAAAGGCATCACATTTGTGCATAGATATAAACAAAAGGGGAAACATTTTTCCCCTTTTTTATAAGTGATCGCATACCCTCTATTCTCAGCTGTGTAAGTAGCTGGGGGAGAAGAGTTTAATTCAGCACTGATGGTAGGTTAAAGAACTTTTCACAGTTCCATCTCCGACAGGCTCATTGAGATCAAGGTCTGAACTCATTGAAGGCCATGCCATCTGTTACAGATTCCCTGTTCTATTTTTAGGAGTGTGTGTTTTTTATGATTTTTGCCTGCATTTGGAGTCATTGGTTTCATATTCATTCTGAAATTGGGATGCCTCCTTAATGTACTTTGCAGCATGTAAGGGGCCATACATTTTGACCAAATCACCAACACCATATTTGGAAATGCATCTCCAAGCCAACAGGGACCTCTACCTTTTTGCCTTCAGATGTTTATCCATGTACAGTTTCATAACCCCTGAATGGACAAATTTCTATCTGTTAGCAACAAATATTTAAAACCTTTCATCCTCACCCTTTCATCAAGCCACTGTCATTTGCCTTCATCACAGAACTTGTGTTTTTTGGCTTTGTATTCAGAGTTGGTTGGCTTTGTTTCCACCTTGGAGAGATGGCTTTTGGTCACAATTCCATGAGGACCGCTTCCGATAAGACTTCTCCATACTCTAGATCAGTGTTTCTCAACCTTTTTTCAGTCAAGGCACCCTTTAAAATTATGGACAGTGCCGAGGCACCCATTTAAATTATGGACAATCTTGAGGCACCCAATTCTAAAATGGGGTGCCTCAAGACTGTCCATAATTTTAAAAGGGCACTCATTTAAAAATGTGAAAAAGTATTCTAATAGTTTTATATAATGCAGCAACATCCACACATGTAGGACACCCAACATTAGAGGTGATATATTCTTCCAAAGCAAATGCATTTTTTGCACACTGGTACTGACTAGTATTCCAGTGTTTCTCCTCTCCCTCAGCTTTTCTCCATCACTGAGCTAATGTGACCCCAGCACTGATAAAGAGGGGCAGAGAAGGGTCAAACTAGGTTGCTGTGTAGGCAACTGACATCCTCCTTATCAAGTGATGTCATGACGCTGGTGGCTAGAAGGTCATAATGAAAACTTGAGGCTTTGTGTAACTAGAAGGCAGGCTTATTCCACCCACTGGCTTGTATACAAGTTTTGGGCAGTTTTTAGACATTTTGCTAGGGCACCACTGAAGAAACCTCAAGGCACCCTGGTTGAGAGAGGCTGCTTTAGATGGGTATTCCACAGTGCCAGTGTATTTCTCATTTGTTGCACCCAGTTTGCTTGCTAACTGCTGCATTTCCTGTTCTCAGCCTGGCTTGTTTCTCTATCTGCTATCCAAGCTGCTCTGCATGAGCACAAACGTGTATTGTGAATGTTCTGCTTTGGAGGGTCCTTGATGATGCAGGATGGCTTGTCATTATGCACGTTTGCCTCAGTGCTAGATTTATCGCCACAACCTCACCTTTTTTTCCCACTTTTATTCTGTCTACAAAGTTGTTTATTCAATTTAGTATGTTATGTCACTTGTTGGTTTAAACCATACTCGAAATATGGTTAAAAATACATATGAGGTCTGTTTACCTGCCAAAGGATTTGTGTTTTTTGTCCTGTCAGTCCTGTAATCTTCACAGCCCTGACACAAGCACAGTACTGTGTATCGGGGCAGGAGACCTGGTGTCTCCTAGTTCAGGAACACATACAGGTCTCCTCCCCAGCCCCAGCCCATGACTGGCCAGAGAAAGGAAAAGCAGCAGACCTGGTCATCTTTTTGTCAATCTGCTGTCCTCTTATCATGCTTTTTTCATTGCAGCACAGATATTTTGATCCTTGTGCTGCTTCCCCCTCCCTCATCCAAGCTCTGCTGTACTATGAACTGTAGAAATCTGACCACAATTCAGATACTTGCAGTGCTTGCATTCAAATAATACATTTATGAAAATATTACCTGTGTTTTTTGTTTTTTTTTCCCCTTAATTGCAGGTTTAACCACTTCTCTACAGGGCACTTATACCCCCTTTCTGTCCAGGCCAATGTTCAGCTTTCAGCGCTGTCACACTTTGGCAATTGCGCGGTCATGCAATATTGTACCGATTTGACATTTTTATAATTTTTTTTATACACAAATAGAGCTTTCTTTAGGTGGTTTTTAATCACCACTGGGTGTTTTATTTTTTGCACTATAAACAAAGAGCAAAAATTTAAAAAATAATTTTTTTCTTTGTTTCTATTATAACATTTTGCAAACAGGTAATTTTTCTCCTTCATATGATGCCCTCCCAGAACTGGACAACTGTGCTGTAGCCATCATTCGGTTATAGTGTGGTGGCCAAGTGGTTAAAATGGTACATATATGCACACTTGCAAAACTATGCGCTTTGATCTCTAAAACTGGATTGTGCAAAATCTAGTGCAGCTGTGCGCAATAGCCAATTGGCTTTTAACCACAGCTTGTTTTTAGGCTTTGACAAAAAAAAAAACCTGGAAGATGGTTGGTCTCTATGCAGAGCTGCACCAGATTTTGCACTCTCCAGTTTTAGTAAATCAGCCCCCATGTGTCTTGAGGCTTGTTCCAGAAGGTTTCCTAGCTGTGCAGGACCTGGGGTTCTCACAACCTCATGTGTTTAGCGCTGCCAGCTGAACAGGTTCAAGGTCCTAGGCTTGCCACACCTCCACTTTTTAGTATGTCATTATGTCCCTGTATTTGCAAATGGAGCAGATACTATCGCTGCAAAGATCAGTATGGCTCCTCAGAGTCCTGTGTTCTCTGTTTTTTAAAACTGAACTTCGGACAGAAAATCTTTAATTTTAAATATATTCTTCAATAGCCACTTTGTGTGCACCAAATGCTTTTGCAAACACAGATATTGCCTTGTAAAAGTAGCAATGACATCATTACTGTGCTGTACATAGCCTGTACAGAGAGCATAGCTGTGGATGGGATGCAACACGTCTTCCCATTTTAGGCTGCCTGCAGAAAACTACAGGAGGGGGCGGGCAACAAGACCAGTCACCCTGCAAAAGGAAAGAGAGCAACAGTGATCGGTCTTTAATTACAGTGAACTGCACAGAGGGAAAGTTTTTTAAAACTAGATTACTGCACAGATCTGGAAGTAATACACAAAGCACACCAAGATTCAAGTAAAAATGCACGTGCCTCTTGTATATAGACTGTTTTTGCTTATCCTGGAGTTCATCTTTAAAACAAGTAACAAATGGCCTAAAACCAGCAGGAGGGAGTTCCTGCAGAGCATTTCCTGTGAGGGAATGATTACATCACTTTCTTCAGATGGTAGCACCCCTTCATCACCTACTAATACTGAGGAACGGGCTGTACAACATAATATGAAACATGCATAATGCACCAGGTAACATGTGCAACTATGCATATACAATTGTACACTTTTTAACTTGTGGTTTCAGTTTTTTCTTAAAAAAAAGTGTTTTCTGCTTTTAATGAATTCATAACTGTATTAATTGGTCATTTATCTTTTTAGAATTCTTCCTTTCAAACATCCACATTTTTATTGCATTGCTTCATATTTTGCAACAGTAACCCTAACGTACCCTAATCGGGAAGATCTACAATAACCATCAAAGACAAATATTTTTGTGATGCAATTAAAGGTGCCTAGACTTTTTTTGTACGGTACTATATGCGCATATAATAATATAAATCAAATAAATATAATTTTTTTTAATTTAAAAAAAAAAAAAAAAATATTAAATAGAATCCAGGATTATTTTTAAATGCAAATGTATTATTTCTGTTCATGTTAGATGAATGTACATATGTTATGATATGGTCGTTATAATTAAGCCAGTGCCTTAAGGTAATTTTTTACATTCCTGTGGTGCTTCAAAGTAACAGTGGAGATGTAGGTGAGCTTCTGTGCTAAAGCTGGCCTATCCCTTCACTAAAGTCATGTCCCTCCAACATGCAGTAACTGGAAATGGGGATGTGATATCGCACTGTGACTCACACTTTACACAGGGATTACTTTCACAGCTCCACCCTCTTATTCAGTGGACTGGTTGATTGTGTCATAAAGTTATGAAATCTGTGAGGTAAGGCAGTGATATTGAGGTTACTATGATGCATGCTATTAAAACGTAATTAGTGAAAAACTTTGCATAGACTTTAATAAAAATACTTCTGTTTGCCTTTTCTATGACATAACCTCATACTCAAAATAGGGCAGTAACTGTCACCCTGTTACAATGAAGATGTACACGTAAGGTAAACATCTATTCAGTAACGTGTAGGGCTATGGTTAGCAGTGATCCTCGCAGCTCTGCTAAATGGAGACTACCTTTCAGTAAATGACTGGACCGCCAAAAAGAATCTTTTTAAATGGTTGAATAAATCTTTAAAAGAATGCTTTAAATAGCTACAGGGGCGTCAGTAAGGTGGAGAAAGTGAGTTGGGTATCAAAATGAGCATACATTTGCTCATGGCTTGGTTCTGCAGTGTGGATGATTTGATGACCCACATATACACTCTATTGCCAAAAGTATTTGGACACCCCTCCAAGTCATTGGATTCAGGTTTTCCATTCACCTCCATGGTCACAGGTGTATAAAATCAAGCACCTAGGCATGCAGACTGCTTCTACAAACATTTGTGAAAGAATGGGACACTCTCAGGAGCTCAGTGAATTCAAGCGTGGTACCGTGATAGGTTGCCACATGTGCAATAAGTCCAACCATGAAATTTCCTTGCTACTAAATATTCCATGGTCAACTGTTAGTGGTGTTATAACAAAGTGGAAGCAACTGGGAACAACAGCAACTCAGCCACAAAGTGCTGGCCACATTAAATGACAGAGCGGGGTCAGCGCATGCTGAAGAGTACAGTGTGCAGAAGTCTCCAGCTGTCAGGGTCAATAGCTAAAGACGTCCAAACATCATGTGGCTTTCAGATTAGCACAACAGTGCACAGAGAGCTTCCTGAAATGGGTTTCTATAGCCAAGCAGCTGCATCCAAGCTTTACATCAAGTGCAATGAAAGCGTCGGATGCAGTGGTGTAAAGTAAGTCGCCACTGGACTCTAGTGTAGTGGTGATGTATTTTCTGAAGTGACGAATCACGTTTCTCTGTCTGGTAGTTTGTTGGACATGTCTGGGTTTGGCAATTGCTAGGAGAATGGTACTTGCCTGACTGCATTGTGCCAAGTGTCAAGTTTGGTGGAGAGGGTATTATGGTGTGGGGTTGTCTTTCAGGGGTTGGGCTTGGCCCCTTAGTTCCAGTGAAGGGAATTCCTAAGGCATCAGCATACCAAGACATTTTGGACAATTTCATGCTCCCAACTTTGTGGGAACAGTTTGGGAATGGCCCCTTCCTGTTCCAATAATACTGTGCACCATAAAAAAACGTGGATGAGCGAGTTTGGGGTGGAGGACTGGCCTCAACCCAATAGAACACCTTTGGGATGAATTAGAGCAGAGACTGCAAGCCAGGCCTTCTCATCCAACATCAGTGCCTGACCTGACAAATATACTTCTGGAAGAATGGTCAAACGTTCCCATAGACACACTCCTAAACCTTGTGGACAGCCTTCACAGAAGAGTTGAAGCTGTTCTAGCCGTAAAGGGTGGGCCAACTCAATATTGAACACTACGGACTAATACTGGGATGTCAGTTAAGTTCATGTGCGTGTAAAGGCAGGCGTCCCAATACTTTTGGCAATAAGTGTAGCTAATATATGGTCTGCAGCACAAAAAAGTACCACATGCTAGAGCTGCTGCAACTGCTGGTACTTGCCATCATCTCCTTGCATACCTGCAACTGAGTATTCTGGTTGTCTGGGATGTCAGGGGAGCACATATATACATCAGGTAATTGATTAGACCTCCGCAGGTAGGAAAAAAAAGGCTTGTTTACAATATGGGCATTTGCATTTATATTGCATTTTTGGCTTTGAGTTCTGACCTTTTTATTTCTCAACTAGATGGTATAGAGTACAAATGATTACCTACACCCACAAATCAGTGTCCTGCTTTCTGTACAAAGTAATTCCATGGTAGTTTTTGAATTCCATGTTATGTAGAATATACTTGTGCTTCTTAATACTGGTAAGTAGGTTTTCCACGAAGTGTAAAAGGCTTTTTCCCAGTTCATCCAAATTCTTTTCAGTTATACACAAAAACATATGTGTATTTCCAGCCACAGAGACCCGTTTAAACCTAATCCTGTTAAGGTATAATGTTGGCTAAAAGCAAACTGTGCCAGATCTTGTTTGGCGCATGCGCAGGCATGTTCTGGAAGAGATCTGGTACCGTGTGTTATTAGGCATCACACAATTTGCATAGCAGATCTTTTTGAAAGTCACTGGGGTTGTAACTTTCACAGGGGGCACCTGTAAGCCCTGGCTATGTCATTGATGTCTCTGTACCAGGAAATAGAAAAGCATTAATGTAGACTTTGTTCACGCTAAATACAGGAAGTGAAGGCACATTTTTCGAACTGTGAAAAAACAGCAATAAAAACAAGACCAAGGTTCTTATCCCTCTCCCCATCTATAAACCTAAAAAGTGTTGTGGATGAGGCTTTAATCACACAATACTCATATGGTAAGGTCAAATTCATACTTTATCAGTATACACTAGGTAAAAATACAAGTTATACGTTGTTCAAGGACAAATCATATTTAATAAAATCCTCAGTATGAGTCTGTCACATACAAAATGTATAATTGTTAATACACTGCTCAAAAAATTAAAGTAACTTTGAAAACACATCAGATCTCAATGGGGGCAAATATCATGCTGGATATCTATACTGATATGGACTGGGTAATGTGTAAGGGATGTAAGGATGCCCCATCGTTTGAATTCAGTCCTCTGTAGGTTGATAATTTTCATTTCCATCAAAGACACCCCAAAAAAAGTGAAAAAATGATGCAACAGGCTGCACCAGGGCAGGGCCTGACAATGGATCCAAGCATTTATTCCTGATACCTAATGGCAGTGAGGGTGCCATTGTCTAACCTGTAGAGGTCTGCATCCCTTCATGGATATGCCTGCCCAGACCATCACTAACCCACCACCAAAACGGTAATGCTGAACGATGTTACATGCAGCATAACGTTCTCCATGACATGCTCAAAGCGAACTTGCTCTCATCTGTGAAAAGCACAGGACGCCAGTGGCGGACCTGCCAATTCTGGTGTTCAATGGCAAATGCCAATCGAGCTTTATGGTGCTGGGCAGTGAGCACAGGGCCCATTAGACGTCTGTCCCTCAGGCCATCCTCATGAAGTCTGTTTCTGATTGTTTGGTCAGAGACATTCGCATCAGTGGCCTGTTGGAGGTCATTTTGTAGGGCTCTGGCAGTGATCATCCTGTTCCTCCTTGCACAAAGGAGCAGATACCAGTTCTGCTGATTTGTTAAGGACCTTCTATGGCCTTGTCCAGCTCTCCTAGAGTAACTGCCTGTCTCCTGGAATCTCCTGGATGCTCTTGAGACACTGCTGGGAGACAAAGCAAACCTTCTGGCAATGGCACGTATTGGTGTGCTGTCCTGGAGGAGTCCATATGTTTTGTATCAACATGTTCAATGCGTAAGATTGTTCAATGCGTATAGCCACTGTATTGAGTTTTAAATTTTCTTGTCTCTATTTATTATGTTATGTTTTAACATTTGTAATAAAACTTTGGGTTTTTTTTTTTTATACATGTATGGAGTTACATAAAAAGTCAAACATATTTTTGGGGGGATTATCTACCTACATACTATCATGGGATGTTTTGCAACAATTAATGTGACCCCTGAGGTGGCTACACAATATCATCCTGGGGGAGTTGGACTGCCTGTGCAACCTCTGTAGGGTCCAGGTATTGCCTCATGCTACCAGTAGTAACACTGACTTTAGCCAAATGCAAAACTAGTGAGAAACAGTCAGAAAAGATGAGTAGGGAAAAAAATGCCAGTGGCCTCCACCTGCAAAAGCCATTCCTGTTTTGGGGGTCATCTCATTGTTTCCCATCTAGTGCGCCTGTTAATTTCATTAACACCAAAGCAATTGAAACTGATTAACAACCCCCTCTAACAGTTACGTTTATTGAAATCGTACAGTGGTACAGGCAATCAAAGCTACATGAAACCAAATCAAGCATGCATTATGCAGTAAAGTAGTATTCCAAAACAGAAGAGTCTTACAATGGTATCCTGATGGCCCGAGCAAACTCATTAAGCAAGCACTTAGTGTGGTCTAAATGTGGATGTCCTGCCAGGGAAAGGGAGTAAGATAGGATTCAGGAAGAGTGAGGAAAATAAAGTGGGGAGAGGGGTGGGAAGGGTTAGAGCGGGGGGCCGGGGGGGGAGGAAGTAGTCAAAAGGGAAAGGGCAAGAAGGTACAGTAGGCAGTACAAGTAGCAACATATTGTTCGGGTCTTGCAAACATTTTGTAATAACTAACTGGAGACATCACAGCCTATATTGTGAGTCCCTATGCCTCTACCCACCCAGTCCAGATTTTCTCAAATTTTGCTGGACAGTTGCGGCTTATATACGTAAGCTTATATGGTAGAAGCGCACCATTAATTGCTGCCTTCCAACCAGAGACCATGGGTGGGGTTGAGCGCTTCCATCTCAACAAAATTTGTTGTCTAGCGTAATAAGAGAAGACAAACCGTTTACTATGCTTAGGTGCTTCCACAAGATCAGTAAGACTCAACAACATTATCAGCTGATCCATGGGAACAGACAGGTTGCCAACTGCAATGATAGTGTCTAACACCCCAGTCCAAAAAGGACACCGCTTCCTACATTCTGAAAACATATGGTTAACCGTGTCCTCAGCCATATTGCAGCGGGGACATGTCGCTGATCTGCCAGGATCTATGGCAGCCAATCACTGAGGGGTATAATATACTCTTTGGATAAATTTCAATTGTATAAAATCTCTGGCAGAGATCATAGTAGGGAGATTTTGCAAAAGGCAATCCTCCCAGTCATCCTCTTGTCAGGGACGGGTGGTCTGCGTGCCATTTACCATAGAGTGACTGACTGCATTCTGTGGATAGTCAGAGGGGATAGCTGGGAGTGGATAGAGGACAAGGCTTTAGGCAAGTCTTCCGCTATCAACAAACTTTCCAGGGGTTCAGTCTGTACAGCAGGGGAAGATGGGAATTGAGCTGCAATCACATGGCGCAATCGTAGAAACTGGAAAAACATCCAGTTATGCAAACCATAAGTGTGTTTTGAGTTCGTCAAAAGAGAGAGAGAGAGAGAGAGAGAGAGACAACTGGAAGCATAATGTGTCGCAATATTTTAATGCCATATCGAGCCCACACAGCAGGATCTGGTACCGTGTGAAAATAGGGAAGTGTAGGGTTGCCCCAGAGTGGTGTGTAAGGGGAGTAGGTGGTAGTTATGCCATATTGAACCCAGCCCGCCTCCATACCCTCAGGGTCGTCTGCATAGGGGCGGTGAGTGCGGGGTTGGACTTTGGGCCCCTATAAACAAGGTTGCTGAGTTCTGCATAAGAGCCCAGTATACCCTCTTCCAGAATCACTGCCGCATTATCTCTTGGATGGGAGAACCACCAGTGCACCATAACCAAGACAGCCACCCATTAGTACTGTAGGAGCCTAGGCAGTGTCAGGCCACCTCAATTAATTGGTATATGTAAGGTAGATCGGGAAAGTCTAGGGGTTCCCCCAGCCCAGAGAAACATAGACAATACCATCCACATGACTGAAAAAGGATAGTGGAATATGTATAGGAGTTTGGCAGAAAAAATAGAGAAATGTAGGTAAAATAATTTTAAAAAGATTTACTCGGCCAATGATACTAAATGGAAGGGAAGACCAAGCACTACATTTAGTCTGCAGCTGTTGCAAAAGAGGAAAAAGATTGTCCAAAAAACATATTTAGTTAGATCACGCTAAACCACCACACCCAAGTATTTTTAAATTTGGAGACCGATTTAATAGGAGCAAATGGAATGACAGGTAATGTAATGACGGGGGGGGGGGGGGGGCATAGTTTGTTTCTTGCAGGATAATAACCACTTGCCAGGCACTTATACCCACTTCCTGCCGAGGCCAATTTTCAGCTTTCAGCTCTTTCGCACTTTGAGTGACAATTGCGCGGTCATGCAACATTGTACCCATATTAAATTTTTATACTTTTTTCACACAAATAGAGCTTTCTTTTGGTGGTATGTACTCGCCGCTGGGT